ATTCATTCCCTGAGAACTGTAAGAAGTCATTCACTCCCTGAGAACGGTAACTCGTCATTCATTTCCTGAGAACGGTAACTCGTTACTCATTCCGTGAGAACTGTAAGAAGGCATTTCTCCAAATTCTCTTAGCTTAAAAATAGATAGAAAAAGGAAATACATAAAAAAAAAAATTGGCTCCTTTAACAACCCTAAAAAAGTAGGTCCTATAAGAAGTGGATTGTTTGGATTTTTGTGTTTTTCACAAACGGTCGTATTTAGGATATTAGAAGTTTCAAAACTTCTGCCAAATTTGTATAACGTATTGGTTAAGACAGATTTACCATCTGGTTTTGTGATGCTGTTACAACCGGCTAAAAAAAAACGCGACTCGTACAAGAAGAATGAATGGTACAGCTGGAGAAGTGAACTGTCGTTATTATTTGTTGTTGACGATAAACCACGTGAATTTCGCCTTAAAAACGTTCAGCGCTTATGATTGAGATCAATACTTTATTCTATCAAGAGGTCTGTTGACTTTGTTGAAAGACTTGAAATATGAAGGCTTACACTAATAATATATATACGTAAAATCCGATTAGTAAAATATGGTTTTACTCAGCACTTCTCAGTTTATCAGAGGCGTCACTGGGTGCTTAAAAGATTCGGGGCTCGGGCCCATAGATACCGGAATTTTCGGCGTTTCGGTATGATATCATTCATAGTTTTCTATTCTGATTCGGGGCACTGTCAAATAGAATCGGGGAACAGGCCCCATGTGCCAGCGCCTAGCGACGCCTCTGCTGTTTACCATAGTTGCACTAAATTAGATCTATTATCGAAGTATACTTTTTATTATATTTATGATTACGACATTAGCGATACGCGGTGTCAAAACGTCCGATCATGGTTTCTAACCATTACCTGCAAAATGTGCCTTTTAGATTCATATAGTTTGGAAGTTATTTTGAGCGTTTAACATAAACTAAAATACTGAAGAAAAAGTAAAATAACAGAAAGCTTGTCGATTTTGGAGACGAGTACGTTATCGTGATCCATTCTGTTTGTACAAGGGTTACAAATCAGACGTCCACGTAACAGGGAGAACTGTGGACTGGTAGCGTGAACCATCAAGAAAAAAATAATGGTATCGATAAAAAAAAAAAGTTAATACTTTGAGTGCTTTAAAACTAAACAAACATTTTAAAACAAAAATATAGAAGTCCAGAATGTTGTTAAATTATAAATCTTACTCACCTAAACGATTATATTTTTTTCTATCAAAAGAAGGATGATTGTACATAGCTGTAACTCAGCACTCATTCACAGATGTTAAATCTAATGCGTACGCTTGTTCGATGTCTTGTCTGTGAAGTTTCACCGGTCACGGAACGTGAATACAGACTAAATGTTCGCCGTGACATTATACAAGCTCTTTACGCGGCCTGTGTGTTAATTTTTCATTAATTTAAAAATAATGCTTGCGCCATCTATTGGATATAAAAGTGAATAATTCAGCAAAAAATGTGGGGAGGTTCTGGTTTGGCTTTTTAACTATTTATTTGATCAATTATCTTATACTTTATGTATGTTTAAAAACTTGAAGGCCTCCAAAAGCATATTCAACATTAATATTTTTATGTTTCCAATGTTATTTAGAAGATATTTGACAAATGAGTTTTTATTGTTAAAAAAAAAAGATGGCGAAATTTATTTCACTTGCAAAAATTTTGAAAAGCTTCATAATTCAAATTGTATTGGTATCAAATTTGACCTTAGTTGTTTTAGAGCTACAATTCACTAAATTCGGTTATAATGAAAGCTTTCTCAGGGGCCAGAATGCAAACTTCTAACATCGCACGGTTTTTGTAAAATTAACTAGAATACGTCTGTGCTTATAACACAAAATGTTGCACTCGGTGGCTCAGTGGTACGTTTCACAGCTTAAAACACTAAAATTATGGTTGCGATACCCGCGGAGGACAGAGTACATATAACCTATTGTGTAGTTTTTGTGCTTAATAATAAACAAATACATTAAGTTAAGTTTAGTTCTGACAACGCTCAAAGATTTTGAAACATTAGTTTAGAAAAATACCGAAATAATTTTGTTGTTTTGTTTGTTTTTAATTATGCACAAAGCTACACAAGGGCTATCTGTGCTCTGCCCACCACGGGTATCGAAACCCGGTTTCTAGCGTTGTAAGTCCGCAGACATACCGCTGAGCCACTGGGGGGGGGATGATTTTGTTGTATAAATTTTTGTTTGCCAATTTTTAATTCAAGGCTACTGATTATTTTATTCGAATAGACTCCCTCTATAAAAACAAAACACAAGTCTAACACTGGAGGCATTGTATTAAATATTCGTGAGCCGCGTTAAATAAATGAACTTACTTTTCTTTTATTCCTCTAAGCTTGCATCAGTTAGTGTTTAAACTTTGAATAATAAATGATAAAAAAACGTGCGTTTGAAGATTCCATAAAAACATGTTATGTTGATTGACTAGATGGATTTTCTTTATTACATTGGACCTCGGGTCGGACTCTAAATTTTCATTACAACTCTCGTTTTATATTTTGTAAAGGAAATCTAGTGATCTACCAATTAAATAGATTCTAGAAATACTTTTATTGGTGTATCTTAGAACTTTAGAAACAAAGCACTGTTATTGGTGTATCTTTTGTAGAACTTTAGAAACAAAGCACTGTTATTGGTGTATCTTTTATAGAACATTAGAAACAAAGCACTGTTATTGGTGTATCTTTAAAGTTCTGAAACAAAGCACTGTTATTGGTGTATCTTTTATAGAACATTAGAAACAAAGCACTGTTATTGGTGTATCTTTATAGAACTTTAGAAACAAAGCACTGTTATTGGTGTATCTTAGAACTTTAGAAACAAAGCACTGTTATTGGTGTATCTTTTATAGAACTTTAGAAACAAAGCACTGTTATTGGTGTATCTTAGAACTTTAGAAACAAAGCACTGTTACTGGTGTATCTTTTATAGAACTTTAGAAACAAAGCACTGTTATTGGTGTATCTTTTATAGAACATTAGAAACAAAGTGCTGTTATTGGTGT